GTTCCGGTAGCTCATGGAAATACCGGTGCAAAAGGAAAAGTGATGGGAGCATGCAAAATATGGTGGGGTGATCCCGGATTCCGGGTTCCCACGGATGGACGGCATGGCAACGAGGAGGACCGAGCAAGTGACAACTCGGACACGGTGCAAACATAGGTTGCAACTCATACATCGCAAGCATTCATCCACGGGCGTCGTCTTGATGGTTATACCTTCGAAGCGTGCGTTATCGGAGGGGTTCAAGTTCGATGCGGTGTAGGGGAAGTAGACGTTCTCGGGACGTTCGGTAGTGGAAGTAGGGGTACATGACGACGGTAGAGGTACTCGTGATCTTGGCGGCGGTAGTCGTTCACGTTCTTAGTTGCACAATTTTCCGTAGATGTTCAGGATCACGGCGAGGGACTTGACGTCCACGGAGGCTTCGAGGGTCGACGGTAGTTGTTCTCGTATCATCGTGGAAGTAGTCATACTCGGTGATAGTGGTACTTGGCGTTTCGTTCGGTACTCGTTCGAGCATCCAAGGTCTTCGGCGCTACGGTAGTCGTACACACATTCGGAGAGAAGCTCGGCGTATCCATGTACTTGGCGTTATCCGTGCGTAGAGGTACTTGACATCGTGGTACTTGGCGATTTCGGAGACATTAAAAGACGAACTTGGCGATTTCGTTGACCCGGTACTCGGCATATTCCCTGTTCGGTAACCGTTGGACTTAGCGTCAACAACAACAGGGGCACGACGCAGGGACTTGGCGCGATGCAGGGGCTACGGCCGCGGGACTTGGCCATGGTACAGTGGCTCCACGAACACACCAGGGCCAGCACGAAGGACTCCATGGCCGGCGGCCATGACGAGCAGAGGCGTCAGCTGTAGCACCGGGGCGCGTGAAGGGGCGGCTGGAGCCGCGAATGAAGCAGAGGAAAGGAGGTCGGCGCGGATGCGGGGCCTCGCTGGTCGGGCGCGAGGAAGGAGACGCGCGGAGGCGGGGTCCTCGGACTTGAGCGGCGGCGGAGGCTGGTGGTGCTCGCGTGGAAGTGGTCCTGAAGCTCTAGTGGCGCACGCTGGCGCGGGGCAGCGACGGTGGAGGCACTGGCTGGTCGAGGATGAGGCTCGGCGGCTCGGGGTGGCGCGCGGCAGAAGGAGCAACTCCGGCAGTGGCGGTCGCTGGACGGCACAGTAGCGGCATGGGAGGTGAGGAGGTGGCGGAGCAGGCTCGTCGGCGTTCGAGGGAGGAGCTGGCGATGGGGGCTCTGCGAGGAGAAGCAAGAGAAGAGGTGGAGATCGGGCGGAGATGGGTCATGGGCGAGAGGAACGAAGGAAGGGGAGAGGTGTCGAGGGAGGAAGGAGTCGGGCTGCGCGGGACCCTAGCGGCGCAAGGGGAGACGAGGGAGATGGGATCGAACGGGCTAGGGGTGCGCTAGGGTTAGGAGAGGGGCTTTGGTGGGCCTGGGAGGCTGGCCCAGCTGCGGGGAAGGATAGACAAAATGGGCTGGATCGAGGGGGCTTCTGCTGGACTCTTTCTCTCTTAACCCATCTTTCTTTTCTTAATTCCCTCCGACAAAAATATGTGGAGAAAAGAAAGAGGGGCTAGAGGTAGAATATTTCAGAAAATAAAATATTCTTGGAGTGCTGGAACTTTGCACAAATAGAATAAAATGGTTTTGCAATTTTAAGAGATAGAAAAATAATTCAAGTTTGAATTTAATTCAAACTTGAGCCATTTTTGAACCCAACCAAACCAAACCCAAATGAGCTGAAATTTGACATGGAGGTGGTATGCATGGGGTATGATTTATAGAGAAAAGGTGAACATTTTTTATGTGATAGAAAAATGTCACCTACAATGGATGGTTGAATTTGAAAGAAAGAAGCTAGTGATAGGGTTTCAACTTGAAGGGGGATTTGGTGGCAAGGGAAAGATGTAATTGTGTTTGGTTGATTCCATAAGAATGGAATATTGATTATAGCTCCCTAATAATATTGGGAGGATATGTTATATAGAGAAATCATCATGTGAGTTCCCTCGATTTTAAATGGATCGAAGATCCATGCAATTTATTTAGTTGAGTTAAGAAAAAGAAATGACATGATAGTGTGATGACATGATGCAATGCACACGATGCAAAGATGAATGCAACAGACGAAACAAATCACACAACGAAACCAAAAAACCCTGTAAGGCAACTGAAGCTCCGGTCTTAGGGCGTCACATGTTTGGTAATTTATCAACCAGAAGGCGCTAATGAAGTGGGATCAAATGCATCTGCATAATATGCAGCATAGACTTGCAGCTAGGAATATCTCTACTCCTAATGGACCAATTGGTTGAATAGTCCCCCCCACTTTCAACCGGTTTATTTTCAATCGGTTTTTTTCAACCGGTTTTTCTTCGTCCCACCTCCCACCACCCCCCTCCCACCGGTTTTTCTCTTTCTCGTCTGGCCGACAATACCCAACGTATTTATGGTAATCAATCACAATTAATCCACGTATGGTAAGGCTATAAACTTAGAAATCTCAAATATGATAATCTCTACTCCTAATGGACCAATTGGTTGAATAGTCCCCCCCACTTTCAACCGGTTTATTTTCAACTGGTTTTTTTTCAACCGGTTTTTCTTCGTCCCACCTCCCACCACCCCCTCCCACCGGTTTTTCTCTTTCTCGTCTGGCCGACAATACCCAACGTATTTATGGTAATCAATCACAATTAATCCACGTATGGTAAGGCTATAAACTTAGAAATCTCAAATATGATAATTATAGTAATAAATCAATCCATGTATGGTAAGGCTATAACTAAGGAAGTTTCGAATATGGTAATTATCACCAGAATCAAAGCTTTCCAAAAAAGTTCTTCTTGCCATACCCTTCAATCGCGCCCTGCTCCATTCCGATCTCCTCCCCTCAATCGCTCCAGCTGATTTACTCTTTCCAAACCTAATCCCTGCCTGATCTAGATAAAGAGGCTCTCTCCTGCCCGTCTCATCCCTCCCTTGTGCCAACCATGGAAGAGAGGAGGGAGAGCACAGAGGAGCGCGCCGGCGATGCGCCGATGCTCGCTGGTTGAGGCATGGTCGGCGTGTGAGTCAAGAGGATCCCTGCATCTGTGGTGGTAGGCAATCCAAGGAAGAGTAGTCGAACATGAAAGCGATGGGAGGGACAACACCCTGCTGCCGGGCTCGTCCGCCTCTTCGTGGCCGACGACCGCGTTGGATGTGGCCGAGGGCGGCGATGATGGAGGGAGCCGCTGGCGCTGGCCAGGCTCCCGACCGAGTCGCTGCTCCTCAGTGCCATCCCTTTCTGCCGCGCCGGATCGCTCGTCATCTTGGGGACCCCGAAGGGATGCCGCCGGTGTGGGAGGCGCCCATGACAGTGCGGGCTGGGGACCGAGCGACGGGGGACGTTACGGGTTCCGTTCTAGGGCTAGGTCGGGAAGTCTATCGTGTTTCTGTCGGAAAATCTTGTGATCAATGGGTTTACTAAATTAATTTTGGGTCTATATTAAGGGGCACCGTCTATTCTTGTCATTCGAATTTGCATTCTTGCATCAGAAGTTCAAGAGAACTGTCATGAATAGCACAATGCCTTTCAGTTTGTAGACTGATAACTGTAATAATATAACTAGAGAGCATTTCCTATCAGATAAATAAACTGAACATCACATCTTTTGATTTCTGTTTGGCCTCCTGGGAACGTAGACTAATTTAACACATCATCTTTCGGTTTATGGTAATCAATCACAATTAATCCACGTATGGTAAGGCTATAAACTTAGAAATCTCAAATATGATAATTATAGTAATAAATCAATCCATGTATGGTAAGGCTATAACTAAGGAAATTTCGAATATGGTAATTATCACCAGAATCAAAGCTTTCCAAAAAAGTTCTTACCATACCCTTCAATCGCGCCCTGCTCCATTCCGATCTCCTTCCCTCAATCGCTCTAGCTGATTTACTCTTTCCAAACCTAACCCCTGCCTGATCTAGATAAAGAGGCTCTCTCCTGCCCGTCTCATCCCTCCCTTGTGCCAACCATGGAAGAGAGGAGGGAGAGCACAAGGAGCGCGCCGGCGATGCGCCGATGCTCGCTGGTTGAGGCATGGTCGGCGTGTGAGTCAAGAGGATCCCTGCATCTGTGGTGGTAGGCGATCCAAGGAAGAGTAGTCGAACATGAAAGCGATGGGAGGGACAACACCCTGCTGCCGGGCTCGTCCGCCTCTTCGTGGCCGACGACCGCGTTGGATGTGGCCGAGGGCGGCGATGATGGAGGGAGCCGCTGGCGCTGGCCAGGCTCCCGACCGAGTCGCTGGTCCTCAGTGCCAGCCCTTTCCGCCGCGCCGGATCGCTCGTCATCTTGGGGACCCTGAAGGGATGCCGCCGGTGTGGGAGGCGCCCACGACAGTGCGGGCTGGGGACCGAGCGGCGGGGGACGTTACGGGTTCCGTTCTAGGGCTAGGTCGGGAAGTCTATTGTGTTTCTGTCGGAAAATCTTGTGATCAATGGGTTTACTAAATTAATTTTGGGTCTATATTAAGGGGCACCGTCTATTCTTGTCATTCGAATTTGCATTCTTGCATCAAAAGTTCAAGAGAACTGTCATGAATAGCACAATGCCTTTCAGTTTGTAGACTGATAACTGAAATAATATAACTAGAGAGCATTTCCTATCAGATAAATAAACTGAACATCACATCTTTTGATTTCTGTTTGGCCTCCTGGGAACATAGACTAATTTAACACGTCATTTTTCGGTTTATTGTTCAAAATTGTTTCACTTCACAAATATAACTCCCAGACCATGATGTGTATGTATTTTTTTAATTTTGTGTCTGGTGACCTTAATTTTTATGCCTTCTACAGGTGAGTTGCTAACAAAATTCTAAATGTACATGCTCCAGGTAAATTTCTGGACATATATATTATATCTATATGTCCTTTCTACGAGGACATAAAATGCATCCCTATTTTCTATCTACCATTTTGTAACCCTTTGCAGAATGGTCTGGGGAGGTTCGCAACATTGTCTACTCATCTGATCGGAAATCTGTATATGTTGTCGATCGTGTGACTCTATGGAACTGATGGGGAGGTACCCTTCTTTGCCTGGGAGTTATATTTGGTTTAGTTCGCTGAATCTGGTTTGGTTTTGCACTAATCTTGCGTACTAAGTTTTTAGTGTATAATCTGTTTGTAGGTCCCACTATTTGATTAGTGGACGCAACTGATGGGGGCATGGAGATGATGGCAAGGCATCACGCTGTGGTGGTGGCGAGGGGGCCATCGATGAAGGCGGCGATGACAGGGGCTACCTACAAAAGCGGTGCATGGATGGGGGAGGTGAAGTGGCGAGGGCTGGGAAGGTGGAGAACGACAATCGGGGGAGATGGAGTGGTGGCAAGATTGGACGAGCTCACCTCCGGAGTGTGTGGGCAAGATTTCCTTTTCGGGTCGGCCGGCTTTTTTTTAAAGCATGTGCATGCATGAGTTGGGGCTTATTTCCAGCGGTGAACATGCATGGGTAAAACCGTTTTCTTTTGCGAAAGGGGAGGGGAGACAAAGAACGGAGGTGGGAGAAATAGCATGCGAAGTACTCGGACATCCATGATGGTGCAAGTGTCGCTTTTTTCGGGAAACTTACTAAGGACATAGAGTTCCAGCTGTTTATAAGGAATGTATTTGGCCCTTCTTAGAAGGGAAACTAGCTTGCAAACTTTATGGTCCAACTATCATTGAAATACCAACTGATATGTTATGGAATCTTCAACTTATATTCTTTAGGAACTTCATTTAAGTTGTACTGACCTCATGAGATTCCAATCTATGTTTCATAGTTTATACTCCTCACTATCATAAATTCATAGACTCAAAAGTTTGTTGTATATGTTTATTACTCGAGCATTGCAATACACTGCACTCGGATGATTTTGTCCACAGAAAATTTGAAGCTCCATGATTCGGCAAGAGGATTTGTGCAAGAAATCATGTACATTTTAAAGTTTTGCATCTCAAATTTGGTACCTGTGTTGAACAGGAGGAAGCCTAGAATTCGCTTCACAGACGGAACTCGTCAATATAGAAGAGTAACACCTAGATAGAATCAAATCTGGTCAGAGAAGCCAATTGTGCCTTCTTCCCGAGTGCCAAATGTAGATGACTAATGCTGATGACACCACTCGCTTCCTTGTTTTTAAATATCACATGTGCAACACAATGATGCAAAGCGAATTTCATGGAGGGGGGATAAGACGTATTTGTGTGGTTGAAGGAGCACATGTAAGTACATATTTTGGTGAGGGTGGAAATTGAAATGCATGCTTGGAGAAACATAGTCATAAGCATGTGATGTGCAAACTCCATATAATGATATTATGATATGTGTTTTCATAGATAATTTTATTTTTCAGGGCAACGCACGGTCATTCAACTAGATTTAGCTTCCTTGGATTAGGAATAGATCTAGAAGAAGGTGACGTGGTAGGGTTTTTTTGTACCGTCCGAGACAACGAAACAATGACATGGAAGCTACATGCAAAATTAAGGGGCAATAGATTGAGAGGGTGAATGATGTATGGACAGAGAAGGTGATGAACGGCAAGTTTAATGGGAAAGGGTGGCTAGAGGGGTGTGTCATGTTTGTAAGAATAGATAGAAGAATATGCTTGCATTTGTGTTGTGGTTGAACATTGCGTGCAATATGCTCGTTTCTGGGGAGGAAAATGAGCATTGTTTACACAATTTCATTTGTTGGCCCGTGGCAACGCACGGGCATTCTACTAGTTGTTATAGCTTCTCGTTTGACACACATGTGGATGCTGGTTTTCGTCACATAGTTTGCAGTTCGTTGTTCTACCGCATTTTTTTTCTTTCAATATCTTTGTTGTGACTGCTGCCTGATCCCTGCAATTTCAGCTACCAACCCACAAAAGGCACAAGAGGATGGAGAAACAAGCTACAATCAGTGGAAGTCTTCAGTTATCTCCACCAACAAGCAAACCAAACCCGGTTAGTGTAGGAATACTCTGCAATTGCTTAGAGCATCTCCAACAGCCGCGTCAAAAAACGCGCGCGCGGTAAATTGGCTTTATAGCGCGTGCGGGACGTTTACGCGCACTCCAGCGGTGGCGCAAAACTAGCGCGCGCGGGAAAAGGCGGCCGCTCGCGCGCTACATTTGGCGCGCCGCGTCCGGCGCGCCTATAAATTGCAGCGCCTCCGTCGCTCTCTTCATCGCCCTTTGCCGCTCTCTTCGTCTCTCCATCGCCCCCTGCCGTGCTCTGCCGCCGACACGCCACCACCGCGCCACGATGCCGCCTCGGCGCCGGGGAGGTACGGGCTACTGCGGCGTCCGCGTGTGTCCGTCCGGCACCTACTCCGCCGAGATTCGGTCGGGCGGCGGCATGCGGCTCCATCTCGAAACTTTCGACACCGCCCAGGAGGGCGCCCGCGCGTACGACGCTGCGGCGTGGCGCCTCCTGTAGTCCCGTCAGGACATGAACTTCATCGACGTGACGACGCGGGAGCGTGCACAGGAGTTGGCACCTTTCCCGCGGCTTCTCACTGACGAGGATCATCGCAAGCATCGGAGGCGGGAGCATCGTCTCAGGCTGGCCGAGATGGACGAGCAAGCCATGGCGCTGTGGAGTCATCGCTTCTCGAAAGACACCAACGAGGAACAGTTCTTCGCCCAGAGGAGGGCGAAGAGGAGAGAGGAGCGAGCCGACTATCGCGAGGACAAGCGAACGCGGAAGGCGGTCGCTAAATACAACCAAGCGCTAGGAGATGCGTCCTCCTGGAACTCCGACGACGAGCGGTTCCTTGACGCCTACGCTCCGACGTCGGAGGAGGACATCACTGAGACAGAGTCCGAGTCGGACGAGTAATAGTAGAAGAACTATCTAAGAAACCAAATATGTAGTAGGAGAACTATCTACGAAACCAAATATGTAGTGGAAAAAACTGAAATATAGCGCGTCTGCTGGAGCGGCGTGGGCGCGCTTTAATTTGCGGCGGCCGCTGGAGTCAGCGCACCGCTACACGCAAAAGCTGACTAACCCGGCGCTGTATTGCGACTTTTAGCGCGTTGCGCGTTGCGCGGCTGTTGGAGATGCTCTTACATCCCTATGTATGCCAGTGGCACCCATACACTGCCCATCAGCTAAAATGACCTCTCTGGCTGGTTTTTCGTAGACCCTGCGAAGCCCAGGAAGCAAGCTCAGCTGAACTTCAAGAAGAAACTGCCAGACGCCGCCTCGGAAGTACCGTCACTGGCTAACTAAATTAGCATCAAAGGAATGGAGCTAGCCGTTGATGCAAAAAGGGCACTTCTGGCTCCATCCGTCTCCGTTTTTGATATGTTTGTAAGGCGCGATACTCTTCTGTAAATGTTGGTGGCAATGGCATGCTTGTTTATGTGCACGGGGTAGGAATCTCGTGAAAATCAGCCATCTACATGCCGTCACCAACCACCGGTTCGTCGGGCCTCCAGTTCCACTGTGATTTCCTAGTCTCCAGTCTCCACTGCCAGGCTACATTTTCTAGTCTCGGGTCCTTGGGTTTGCGATTTCGTAGGGCATTCGGATGTTTTCAGCCGTTTTCGGATGCTTGGATCGCCCCTTTCCACGCCGTCACCGGTTGCCACTCGCGCCTCCTTGTTGCTACCTGACGCCCATGTTATTAGGTGCTAGCGTCGTCCGTATTTCCGATGTCCACTTTACCGAGTTCCGCCTCTCGGCAATGGTCAGCGTGATTCATACATACTAGAAGGGTTGGATGCACTTTGTTGCGTCGTTGGTGTTGTTGAAATTCTGAAAAAAAAAACTCATTTTGTTTTAAAATATAAGGTGTATTATTTTTTCAAAAAATTCAACCTCTTCAAGTTTGATCAAATTTATGAAGAAATATGGCAAAATTCGTAATAACAAATTGGTTTTATTAGATTCATAATGAAATGAATTTCCATAATCTTTTGGCTTAATATTGTGGGTGTCGACATTTTTGGCTCTAAACTTGGTCAAAGTTAAAAAAAATAACTTTTCAAGAACTAATACCCCTTGTATTTTGGAACTGGTGGAATATTTAAGTTTGACGGATGGGGAGATGATGGAGTGTGTTTTATGTTTCTCTACTCCTATAAACGACTCAGTTGGTGATTATGGTGTGTCTGTTATCCGTCATTTTTGACCATTAGATCTTCATCTAACGACTGTGAGGTGAGTTGTGCCCTTTTTGCAACTCTCTGCTCCAATTTATTGAAAACCTCTTAGTATCTTCAAACCAACCACATTTCTCTCTTACCTCATCAAAATAGCACAAATAATATATTTTGAGTGAAACATGATATATTTTTAGTGATATATGTATATCAAAACTAGACAGTTTTCCTTCAAATTTGTGAATATGTATAAATCTACTTTAGATACGTTGCAATGCACGGGCATATTGCTAGTATTTATAATGCAATAATTGGTGGGCCTTTTATGGTATGATTCTATGTTATGCACTAATCAACTCATATTTTTGTGTGTAAATTTCTACGTTGATGACTACATGTACTATATTAGTGCTATAGTATCATCACATGGTGACGCTTCTTTTTTTAGGTGGTAAGAGGGTGCACGGCGTTGATATGTTTTTCGAGCCGGTTGGTGTTGATTGATTTGAAAAATTGTCAGCGTGATCAAAATCGTAATCCAAATTCAAAATTGAATATCTCAATCGAATAAAAGATCTTTAAAATTAGGGAATATGGTGAATTAAAATAATTAAATAGGAGAGCTCCTTGAGAAATTATTAACCCACTCAAAATCAAATGACCAAGTTCTAAACTGAAGACCTCAATGAATTGTGAGACTTAAAAATAAGGAAGCATAGATGATGCTCGCTCGGTTACCGCACCAAGTTCGCAAACACCATGAAGGTGTGCTCTTAGTTGAAGAGTATTGACGAGATGCATAAAGAGGCAGACGTTGGTGCTGTTGCGGCTAGGATGTAGTGCTTCTTGGGATGGGTTTGAATGGTTGTAAGCTCGATGTACCCCCTCCCCCTAGTGAAAATTGTACTCAATCCTATTGAAAGTGCTCAAATCCCTAGTCGAATATGCCTAAATCGAGTGCCAAATCGAGCCCGGAAGGTAGATTGGATGCCTAGTGCGCGATGCGTAAATCAAATGCGGACATGGTATAAATTGATTCCATTGGGACAGAGGGCTTACCGCCATTGCCGAGCGCCTGCTCGTGAAGTGGTGAAGCTGGTGATCGATGTCGGTGCTCGCCATCCAGTTCTTCGCTTGGATGCTCGCCACCGATGTTCGCTGTCCAGATCTTGCACTCGCCGCGGCCTGTGTGAGAGTAGAGAGAAGGGAGAGAGAGCGGTCAGAGAAGGGTGAGGGTAGTTATGGCGGCGCTTCTGAAAACAACGCGACGTATCGAGTGTGACTCCACGCGTGCAGCCTCCAACGCCCACGTGCCTCGAGTTCCATCACCCGGGCCTGATTATGGAAAAACGACCGATTCAAGTGTTCCTACCGAGCCAGGCTTAAAGGTGCTTTAAACATCGTGCAGACCAAAATTTAGGTGCAAAACAGGCAACAAATGAGCCAAAACTGCATGGCACCGGCCTGGTTGGACCTAAGGGCATCTACAATGATAGGCACCTGTGAAGACGCTAACAGTAAAAAGAATACCCCCGTAAAAAAAATACATGATTAGAAAAGTGCTTAAGCGCCCTATCTTACAACGACATGTGCTAATTACATTGGCTAAATTGAACTACCTGGTCGCTTCATGTCGGAAGAAAAAACAAGGAAGCGCCCGGCGCCCGGTCTGGCATCGATGCTACACATAACGCGGGGATTCCGATGATAACTTCCCAATCAACCACGAATCTGATACTGGCGCTCGTGCAGTCGTGCTAAGAGCCAGGCGTTGTACATGCCCCTAATGCAGGCTACTAAACACGTCCTACAATATCATGGCGATTGCCCAGCCAAACATGGCGGCCTACTAAGAGAAATATAGTAACGAATGCCTAGCCAGGTAATGAGCTTCAAAACTGCTCCGTCTACTTTTCAAACCTGAATTGACATGATACGGCATCAGAAGAATCATGTGGGCTTTGCAGGGGAAAAAACACACATGTGAAAACTCCTCCGGGCAAATCGGGCATCGACATTTCTAGCCGTCGAAAGCATTCGGTTTTCCTCCCACATTCATCCAGCCTAGCGCTTTCGGTCGCCACATTTATTGGTCCGCCGGTGGCAGGTGCAGTTTTGAATCAAAGACGCCTCCCCCTGAATCGGAAGTGACCGGCAACCCCGGAGAATGAACGGTTTTCTCCTAGGTTTGGTGCCGATCAGCGACAGCGTGACACCGACCGATCATGCCCGACCCAGCCACGAATGGTTAGCCACGCACGCAGCCGCACGAGGACAAGGTACACCCACGCCACCATCACCATGTAAACGAGGAGCAGGAGGGGACGGGCGTAATCTAACCCGTTGAAAGATGACCGAGGATATTGGGTTAGCTTTGATTGATTGCGTTAGAGCAAACTCCAACAGGGCCGACCTAATCCTCCGCGCCTGTTCGTTTGAGTCAAAACGGACAAAACCGTCGGCCCAATGCATAGATTCATTTTTATTTTGTGTCCTTTTGAACCTATTTTCATCTCGTATTTTGCTCACATTTGGATCGAAAACGGACACAAAGCGAACGTTTTCTACGCCTGCCTTGTTCATCTGTGTCCGGGCCTAGCTCACCTGTCACCCACCCACCTCTCTCTCGTACTTATTTTATTCGCTGGCCCTCGAACCTCGCCGCCCCTGGTCACTGTCCCCGCACCGCATGAACGGGTCAGAGCCGGCGTCGTTGCTCTCCTCGTCGCTCTCCATCTCCATGCGCCGGAGTAGCATCTGCTCCACCGCCGCGCTCGCTCCGCCGCGCCAGGCCTCGCCTCCGCCTCACCCACACCCGGTCGCCTCTGTTGGACCGGTAGCCCCCCGCGCCGCACCTGGCCGTGCCGCTCCCATGCTTGCAAAACAGCGGCAGAGGATAGGCAGGCTCGTCCTTGTTTGGCGCCCGTGCTCCGCCGTGGCGGGCTCGTGCTTCTCTCGCGCCTGTGCACCGGCGTGGGGCTTCCGTGCTCGCGCGGCCTTGCCTAGCCGTGTCATGCTCACCGTGGCCAGCCACCATGCTCGCCGCGAGCTCGGGGCTGCGGTGGAGGCCGCGGGGCGGGGTGGCGCCTTGCGCTCGGCTTGGAGCAGCGGCGGTGCTCTTGTAGGTTAGCTTGAGCTCGAAATTCGTGCAGCAGGGTGTGGCGTGGCAGTAGCTACAGGGCAGGAGCTGGGCGAGCAGCAGGGCAGCAGTAGCGGTGACCACGCGAAGACGACGCTCGTGCTCCAGCGTCGTTCCTCGCTGCAAACTTCGTACCTGCTACGTGTTCGACGAAATAGCGAGGCGAATATGTCAAGAAATGTGCTCGTCCTTGTTTGGGCGCATCGGTCGACCTACTTAAAAAAGGAACACAGACCATGAGACGGACGACTCAAACGGACAAGAAAGAGAGACAAACTTAACGTCTATTTGAGTCGGCCCGCTAGAGTTGCTCTTGTGCTTCCATTCCCTCACCATTCATCAATACGTACGTATGTACCAACCATTCCTCAAAAAATAAAATAAAATAATCAAATATGTAACGTATGTATCAACCGTTCCTTCGCCTCCGCCGTACGTGCATGCGTGCGGACGCGCCACTGAACTGGCTAGCTACTCCCTCCGTTTTGGATTACTGGTCGTGGTAACCTCTCTCCCCCTCGGGCTCTCGCGACCGCGTCGCCCCCGCGGGCGACCGGCCGCGCCCCGGCTCCTCCTCCGCCAGCTCCCCCACTTTCCCCCCTTCCCGCCACCGTCACCGGCGTTTGCCGCCGGGCCTGGCCCGGGCAACGCTGGCAGCGGCGGCCCCCAGCCATTCCCCTCTCGATTGCTCTCCGGCGCGGGGCGGTGGGCGCCGGGGGGTGTTCCCTAGGCGGGGGCGGTCCGGCGTGGCGGCGGGGCTTCCTGGCGCGGCGCAGGGGATCGGCTGGACGGCGGCGTCGCCATTGGCGACGAGGTGGCACGGCCAGGCGGCGCCCACTCGGCCCAGATCTGGGCCCTTCGGGCCCCATCTGGGTCTGGGCGGGCCGACGGCGGGGCGGGTCGACGGCGTGGCTCCCAGGAGGCGGGTTA